TTTGGCTGAAATTCCCAAAGTATGTCCTTGTCAAGTGCCGGAACAGATACACCACGTGGAATATAAACATCGCCAGACCTTATTGCAATTGTCTTCAAAGGCCTCTGTGTTTGGGATTCAAAAAGAAGGTGGACATTATCAGGCAGTGACTTTGCAAGAAACAAAACCATAACAAACTATTAAATTAAAGCATGGTTGAAGATTAAAAATATGTCGGTAGCATGTCTTATAAACCTGAATACCGTCAAAGATGTTCCCCAATATACCAGGGCCCAGCTCCACTGATAAAGGCTATAATTTAAAAAGTAAAATAAAAATAAAATTAATTGAACAATTCATAAACAGATAAAGCAATTGGAGAATGCTTAAAAGAAATTGTGTTTTCACCTTGTGTGTACGTAGAACGGGATCGTTAACCATAAGCCCAGCTGTTTCTTCATAGACTGCATGACAGCATATACTTGTAAAAAACTTCCTCAAAGTCTAGGATCTGGTATATACCACCAAAGTCTCCTCCTAGTGCTTCTATCTTAATCAAGATATTATTCGAGAATCTCTACTAGCAATTAGACTGTATTTTTCTTTTCATTTAACTAAAGTGGTTTTCTGGAGGATCTTGGGATAAGATCCACTTGGAATAATATTAAAAGACAAATGCACAATCACACTTTTACAATACAATAACTAAATGAAGGGAGCATGAGGAGAAATGGAAGCTTTTCCAGGGCCACATTTTTGGGGGACAATATACCATTAGTAGGAAAGAATAAGATTAAGAAACATATACCCTGAATTGTTGCTGAATCTCCTTCCAATCGAATGATTTCCCCAATGAGGTTGTCATGTCCAACCCGGACAAGTTCATACATAGCAGCACCCGCCATTCCATCAGCAACGACAACGGGACCTGACACCTGCACAAATAGGAGAATAAGTTATAGGAATGCAAAGCGTATGTGAATTTTTCCTAGTGCTGCAAGAAGAAACCAGTATAGTTGTTCCATGCTGCTCTCAGCATAGTTCAGTGGCAATACAAGGGAAAGCTTAAAACTAAATTAAAGGCAACAACGTCTTAGCATACTTGAAAGGGTTATTATAACACATTATCATCAAATCAATTCTTTTCTGAGCTTCAAAAATCAACAAAGCCAGTTGCAAAGTAACCATACAGCTGAAAAAACAAAGACCCTGGAAAAATGGAGCAAGGAATAACACAAATGGCTAGGAGACCACCAAGCTAGAAAAACATACATAAGTAACATAACTACACAATACACATACAAATAAGGAATACATAGCAGCATAGTAGAGCTTCGAAACAATAATAAGTACGGATGATTTCGTCGCTTCTGATTTAGAACCCTCGCGGTTACAAGCAAAGTAGTTCAATCGGAAGACTCGAACAGGCCAAATCAAGCATAAAATGAGAGCAAAGAAAGCACAGATCGAGATCGAGATAGAAAGAGCGAACCTTGCGGACATAACCATACTCGCTCTCCTTTTCAGAATCCTCGAAGGTGGTCATCGGACCTCCGTAGAGTGACGGCATTGTGGCAGACTACGGCCGTAGGGGAAACACTTGATATTCGACGGTCCGATCGGCGATAAGCTCTTCACAGCCCAAATCAATTGCGGGATAAGCTCGGGATTTACTGATCGTGTGCAAATCGAGTAAGAGGTCAATTCCGGGGAGAGATAGGGAAAGAAGGAGCGTACGAACTGTGAGGTGATGAATGATGGCGCCAGACGCTAGTAACTGTCGGGTTTTACGCGAGGGGACGGAGATGGATCCGGCGATCTGGTGCTATTCGGGGGTTGACTAGGACATTGCAATTATGCATGAACCATGTGACACCTACCAGTATCTACCGACTATCACCACAAACAAACAAATATCCGGGTGAAAAATTAACAAACATGGTGTTGTAATTAAAAGTGTTTTCCCAAAATAATTTTGAATAAAAAAACTATTTATTATAAAATTAGGATTGGTTTAAAGGTATTTATCTAGATACGGATTATTATTGAAATGAATCTTGATTAATCTAAGTTTGTGGGGTGTTTGGATCTGATACTTAAAATTTTTTCTATTCTTTCAGAGAATAGAAGTAGAAGTTGGAGGCTATAAGTGAAAATCTAGAAATACTTTTGGTGCTCTAATTTACTTCTAAAAGTAGTTTTTTAGAAGTTGGGGGAGACCAGCTTTTGAAAACTGATTCTGATTCAGCTTCTGATTTAAAAAAGAAGCACAAACAGAATCAGTTTCAAACACCCTCTTAGTTGGTGACTCTCTTCTAAAATTGGAACTCACCAAGGAAGCTAGCAAATTGGAAATCACTTCATACGACCCAACTCAATAAATATACTCTTTTAAAGTAATATACTTTTTTTATTTTTTTAATCAGTTTAGGCGTGTAAAAATTTTCCATTTTTCTAAAGTTAAATCCTAAGGCTTTACTCCGTGTTTAATTAAAAAAAGCAATAATCCATATGCTAATGGCATTTTTTAACTTAGTGCGAACAGAGGTTGAGAGCCTTTCTCTCTAAAACTTCGGTCTATCTAGGGCTCGGCCGCTAGGGTTCGATTTGTCTGATTTCGTGTATAACGAAGGTCGGTAGCTCCGACGCGGGGAAGGATTCTGGCAGCAAGGGAATAGACGCAGGCACACAGCAGCATCGGCTTCAGGCACAAGGACGGAGCAGGGGGTTTCGATCGAAGGAGATTGCTGGATGGAAGACATAGTCAACTCGTACAAGAAGATGACAATGGAGGAATAGGAGAACGAGCTTAATTTCGATGAGGAAGTGGAGGAAGGAGGAGAGGAGGAGAACGACCCAAAGGTCTTCCCGGTGGTTGCGGTCGCTGTCACTGACCGTAGGGTCAAATTACCGGGCTTCCAAGAACTGATGACTTCAATCTGGAGACCGGGGAGAGGCGTGTCCATCAAGGAGATCGGAGAAAAAAGGTATCTGCTAAACTTTAATCATGTTTTGGATATGAACCGTGTGATTGAGGCTGGCCCTTGGCTTTTTTAACGTGATTTGATACTGGTGAAAGTTGTTCAGCCAGGTGATATACCTGAATCGATGAATTTATTTGAGGCTAGCTTTTGGATACAGGTTCATAATGCTCCTATTAAGTTTATAAACTTGGGATCTGCTAGGAAAATTGGTAATTTTTTAGGCTCTTTTATTAAGTTTGAGACGAGCCAGTTTGATGGCAAACAGAGTTCTTATCTGCGTATAAGGGTATGTCTGGATGTTCGTAAGCCTTTGAGAAAAGACACTACTTTGACTAAAGATGGAGTGAAGCATTGGGTTGACCTTAAATATAAAAAAACTACCCAACTTCTGTTTTTTGTGTGGTATAATCGGACATTCTGATAAATTTTGTCCATTGAAGTATGAAGAGGGTTTTGTAGCTGAGAAAACTTTTGGGGTGGGACTCAAAGCAGGAGGAAGAGTGATGACCAGCCCTACAGGAGTACCCAACAGATGGTTATCTAGTGAAGCTTTTAGGTCAGGTGGATATGGGCTTTAGCGGAAGGCTGATCTCGGGAAAGTTTTTTCGGCTGAATCCAAAACCAGTATGCCACACCAGAACGAGATACTTGACAAGGAAGAAACTCCTGGAGACACACAACGCAGAAGGATCTGGGACAATCAGGCCAAAGAAGATACAACTGGTGAAAGAATGGTTTTGGGTGCGCCAAAAAATGGGGAGGCGGCGGGTCAATCTTCCTAGACCCGCCGAGTTTTCATATGGTGGTGATGATGAAGAGGTCAAGTGATGGTGTTACCTTTATTGTTTGTTTCTATTGCTTTTATTTTGAATGCTTTGTTCTGTTTTACTTTTATTTTTCTAAGTCATGTAAGACTCTTGCATTAGGTTTGGGGGATGAAAGTTCTGCGTTAACTGTCATTGGTCTAGCGAGTTATACTGCTTTTTTACAGGTGGTTAACTCTCAGTCTCAGCCACGGTGGATGCTTACATGTGGTTCTTTTATGTTTTTGTACCCTTGTTGAATGCTATTTCTATGAATTAAGCCCTCTTCGAGCAAAAAAAAACAGTTTAGGCATGTCTTCAAATACAATATTTTTAAATTTACAATAACAATGCTTTAAAAAAAATTACAATAACAATAATTAGGTTTTAATGGGTTTGGTTGATTATTACTTAGAAGTAGGACTGCTCAATTTATTTAACTGAAAGTTTCTCGCGCAAGAAGCATTCATTTTTTATTACAATCAAATAGTGAGTGGCTTAACAAAAAGGGGCTTTGATCCCACTTCAAAAAGTAATCATCTCGCTCGAGTAAAGGTTGCACGTTATTTTTTGAGTTATACTAGGGATACAAAAACTCTTACAAAATGGATATGTGGCATCATCACATTTTTTAACACATCACATCACTTTTACAACACTTTTACATCAAAGGTAACTAGAATAGCCACATTACTTGTCTGTAAGTTTTTTTGTAAGTGTGTTTGTACTTCTAGCATTTTTCTTATTTTTTACATCATATGATTGATGTTCACTATAACGTTCTCCTCTTTATACACTGTTTTGAGTTTTAGTTACACGTTTTGAGTAAGACGCACAATGCCTGAAGTTATCGTGATAAGGTTAATGGAAAGTTTTTTGCCTCTTCTGAATTATTTTTATTTATTCATTTTGATTTTGGTAGGGTTGTAAGTGTTTTATATCGAAACATGAAGACTTATAGGGTGATGTTAAACTCGAGTTTGTCCATTACATGATAAGCAACTACTGCAGCTCGTTGTGGGTGATAGAGTCCAAGTCTGATAATTGGTTTTATGCCTGAAGCTGGTATAATTTTGAGTCTTTTGTAATGTTGTTTGATTTATTAATTTTAATACGGAGTATAAATTATTTCTATTCGAAAAAAATAAAGGACCATTGAGCACTTCTTTAAGTAACAAAAATACCAAATTTATCATTCTAAGAAACTCTTGACCTTTGAAATTACACTCATAAAATATAAAATAATAAATACGGAGTATGAAGATGTGGAAATGGTCGAAAGAAAATTCTAAGTCTCACATTCGAAGCACTGAACTTTGAAGATTACACGGCAACCGAAGAAGAACAGGTAGAAAGCAATGAAGAAGGGTTGATCTTCCTATTATTAATTCATTAATCAATTTGGTTAAGAACGATGCCGGAAGCAATGGAAGACAACGGTGACGGCATTACTGCCAGCCCCCCTACTGCTATCTCCGGCGGGAACGGCAGGAATGGCAATGCCAATAGCAGCAATGACACGGCGGTGGCGAGGCGGAGGGTAAGAATAGGATCCGCCTGTGGAGGAGTAGTGATAGGGAAGCCTGTTATAGTGATGATATGCGGGAGCCTCGTTTACTACCACTGCGCCTACCAGAAATCAAGCCTGGTCTCTCTCGTCTCCGACGTCTTTATCGTTCTTCTCTGCTCTCTCGCCATCCTCGGCCTTCTCTTCAGACAAATGAGCATCCCGTATGTCTTATTCACTACTATTTTTGTATACATATCTGTCGATCTTTGTCTGATTTTTCAATTGCTTATTCCAACTCTTGTATATAAACATATACTCCGTAATATAGAACATGAAACTTCAATTCCTGGATTTGATGCTTAGTACTTAATTAACTGAACCGCAGTGTGCCAGTGGATCCGCTAGAGTGGCAGATATGTCAGGAGACGGCCAATAGCGCATTTGCGGGCTTGGCTAATACCATTGGGGCTGCGGAATCTGTTCTCCGCGTTGCTGCTACTGGCCATGATAAGAGGTTGTTCTTCAAGGTTAGTTTCTACAATTCTACCTACCATTTCCCTGGCATCATTGTCTTAAGTTGTTTTTGTGATCAAACTTTATAAGCCATACTTATTTATGTCATAAGTCATATGGATCTGTCCACTGGTATAACACTATTAGTGCACTACTATTGTGTAGTGTAATCACACTCTAGCAATAATCACTCATTGCTTGAATGAAATATGTCATTGGTTTCCCTTCAGAGCATTTGAGGTGCTAATTAACAAATGGGAGAGAAATGAAGGGAATCCTTCTGGATATATTTGCTCCCTAGAACTGGGAAAGGGAAAATGAAATGGGAAGTTTTATTACTGAGTTTGGTTCCACAGTGGAAAATGAAATATGATCAATGTTTTTACACATCTTAGATTAATCAGTCTTTATGTGATAGCCATAGATAAACAAACTGAGATTAAAACTTCAAAAAATACATGAAAAATAAACTTATTGGGTTTGAACAAACGTTTCCCCTTCATATTTTATGTTCTTAACAAAATCTATACATTCATCCCAATTTACTTTTCTTAGCATTTTCCAAGTCCCACGTGAACCTTTGGAAACCAAGATTTATTATTGTTATTTGTAGGGCAATTTGTTTTTTGTTCATTAAGGAGATACTTTCAATGGTTAAAACATAATTATGAAGGAAATTAGGTATAGGGGTGTCTATCCCTGCCCTCTTTAATTCTCGTGTTGTAAAATAAGGTCAATACATCTTAGACTAAATTTGTTGTGATCAATATCAAAATATCAAATGTTTTTGTGCGTGTTTCCATTAATTATTTTGGTGAAAAAAGATAGATAGACATAGACAGATAGATAAATTAAGGTAAGGTGGTTACTCATACGGTAGCATTAGCCACAGCAAAATTTGATGCATTACTGTTACTGACTAGATTGAGGCTCCGGTGACAAGTTTTATATTCTCTACCACAGGTTGTTGCTACTCTTTACGCGCTATCTGTTTTAGGAAGGATGGTCTCAGGTGTTACCCTTGCTTATGCTGGTATGTTATCACATACATATCTTCCATTTTTCCTTTAGTCATAACTTTTAGTCTTGCGGTCATGCCTCTATAATATATTAATATGTATCTGATATAATGCTTTGCCATTCTTTTGAATCATTATCAAATGGAATATATGCTTAGCAGTTGCATATTTGCATTTCCTATAATTGGCTTCTACTCCCTCTTTCTTTCTTTTTTTCTTTTATTTATGCTTTCATTCTGTAACATTTTTATAGTTAATTTGTTTATCACCTATGTTCTTTCCTCCATTTCTTAAATGGAAACCAAAAATGACGTGGAAACTCTGTTCATGGTTCTTTATGGACATTCCACAGAGAGCTGGAGGTAAATGCACGTGTTCTGAAATCTGAACATGTTTGGGTTGCTTTAATCAAAGGGTGTGCCCTGTACAACTTAAGCCAATTTTGGAATAGCTGGATTGAGCAGATATATCTGTAAACTGACTTATCTGTAAACTGACTGTGTCAATACAAAAACGAGATGAATAGCATTTGTTCCCAAAAATCAGAGATATATCCGCCAATATCCCATATGTGTGACTCGTAGAACAAATTTTCAAAGATAAAAACCTTGGAAATTCTCAGACATTTTTGAAGTTCCTGCATGATTTTCCTAAAAAACCTGTGAAATACTCATACAAAGTTCATTTATCTTTATTGATAGTTTCAACAAATTATACATGCATATAATAATATGATACTCCCTCCGTCCCCCTAAGTTTGTCCCGTTTTACCTTTTTCGTCCGTCTCATTAAGTTTGTCTCATACCATATTTGGTAATGTTTGGGTGGCTACAATTCATTCTTACACTATTCACACTTTATCAATTTAATATCAACCACACATATCTACTTTTTCTTAAAAATCTCACCACACCTCTTTGTCCCAAACATAGGGGGACGGAGGTAGTAGTAATTTGTGCATAAATCCTATATATATGAGCGCATATGTTTCACAAAAGTGTAACTAAACCCAAAACGGACCAAATACCATCAGTAGATTGAGATGAGCTTCTACTAGTGCACTATAAGGAAATCGCCTGAATGGGGGGCCTAGGCTGTGTAGAGTTTCTCCTAGTTGATACATAGTGTCAGTTTTTTTAGTTATACTTGGCGGGATAAGATGTCAAGAGTGATTCCTCACATTCCCATCACTTAATTTGCCCTTTGTTGTTAAGGGTTTTCTGATATCTCAGCGAATCTTTTCCAAGACTTGTCCAATATGGTCATCATTGTTTTTTTGTAGCTAAAATTGATTTTTGTATAAACGTGAGTTGGAAAAGTAGAAGCTACCAAACGTGATTTTTGGCTCACTATGTAACCACACATGTCCATTATTTTACTTTATTGAGGTATTTTGTTGTGTCTCTTATGCAGGCCTGTGCTTGTTCTGTCTTTACTTGTTGGTAGAGAACTCACAAATGATCAGCTCCCGTGTCTCCAATTTTTCTCGGACAAGAGACCACTCAACCGTGCAGGATGATAACTCATAAGAGTGGTTCACTCTTCACAGCCGTCTCTTCTATTGATTGCTATGCCATATGCCTTTGTATGTAGTAGTGTGACATATATGCATTAGCTTTTACTCTTTTTGTAGCATAGTGTTATGAAAGATACTTATCAACAAATAATGACAAAACTAATACTTCGTGCGGAGTAAATATTGTTAGAAATAAAGAGATCCGTTTTCATTTCAGACGGAAAACTGAGTAAATTATAAATGAGTAGTACTTCTAAAGTAATGATCAACCAAACCCATTAAAACCTAATTATTGTTATTGTATTTTGAAAATATTGTATTTGAAGACATTCCTAAGGACCCTAAGCTGCTGATTAAAATGCTATTATTGTCATTGTATTTTAAAATTAGGGATTATGGGTATGGTATTTAGGACCCTTTATTATTTATTTGGTCTATTAAAATGAAACTAGTGTCTCTTTTATCCCACCATATTTAGTATTTTCTCTATTCCACAAAGTTATTATCCTTTTGCACCCGAACGGAAAAATAACAATTAAAAGATACGTAGTATTACATTTATTTATACATATTTTGCATTGGGTCACATTAATTGGAAGCTATACTATACAACCGGTTGTGCGGTGCCAGCCGTACACCCGGTGGCATTTTTGTAATTTTGGTGAAAAACACGGCTTATTTTGAATGAGCATTAACGATTTAACGTAATTTTGTTGAGCATCAAGCTTGTTCTTGACTTCTTGTGAGTATTCAAAGCCTAGAAATGAGCATCAGTGTTTTCTATTTCATATCATCTAATTCTCTTTCTTTTTATTATTTTTTCATTTATAAAAACTCTTAAATTATGTCTGTAATCAATTTCAATATGTAAATCTAATGTAGTATGATACGTTTGAAATGTGTAACATTTTAAAATGAGCGTAAATCAGTACCCAATGAGTATACATATCCCACAAAATGAGTATCAAAAAAATGGAAAGTATGCTCATTGGTTTTGAATATTATACTCATTTGAGTTTAATATAAAACTCATCTTTAATGTGCTTAATATTCAGTTGTGTATGTTCATTTCTTTTATGCGTATACTCATTTGAGTTTAATATAAAAACTCATTTGAGATCAATAGCAGTTTTTATTGAATTGACATTAGATATGAATTTTTGAATGAAAATAAAAATGAAAAAACAAAAACATAAAAATAGAAAAAGACAAAAAGAGAAGCAGAGAAAAAACGGGAGAGCAATTGAGAAAAAGACAAAATTGATTTACGCTCATAGTATCAAATGAGCATACATAATTTACAAAATGAGTATCAAAAATTCAAAAACTCATTTGATATATGTAGAGCCCATTTGGTAGCACCAAAATCGGCTGTTTTGGCTGATTCTGCTGAAATTTATGATATTCTGGCTGGAGTGGCTGTTTTGGCTGATTCTGCTGATTTAAGAAAAAAATATTTTAAAAATATATTTTATTAATAAATTAAAGAAAAAATTATATGTAAAAATAGCTAAAATGGTCCTCTACAGTAACTTCAGCCAATACAGCCAGAAAAGTAACTCCAACCTTACTTTTTCGGCTTATTACACAATTCAGCGCGCGAAAGTAAAAGTTACGTGTTTGGTGAAAAAGCTGGCTGATAAGCCTGATAAGCCGAAAACAGAGTTCTCCAAACGGGCTTGTAGTATGCTCAAATAAACATTTGTGTACGACTGTATTCTCATATATTCATAATAATAATAATAATAACAACATAAAGAAGCATCGATACATCAAATGAAATTACATCTTACAGACTTACAGTAGTCAAGCAAAACCCAAAACTCAAAAATCCACCAAAAATAAAAAGCGTTCCACTCAAATCTAAAAAAAAATCATTAGTTGTCCAGCAGCAGATGTCCCCGCATAGCGTAGCAACCATCTTCTTAACGTGCAGCATCTTAGCGGCAATCATCGCAAGGCTTATCAGCTCTACCAGGTACCAGCATCACACATCCACTTTGCCAGAGAACTCTAGAGACGGTCGTCCAGCCATCGGAACCCTAGCTAGGTTCTTCGCGCCGTATCTGAAGTCGGATATAACAGTAAACAACAAATATACCCGGCTATATCGTGCGCACGGTATAGACGGCTGTACCGTGTAATCTATGACATTAAGGATGTTTTTACTTGGACTGTAATTTGCTGGTCTGGTCTGGTCTGGTCTGGTCTGGTCTGATCTGGTCTGGTCTGGTCTGGTCTGAACTGGTCTGGTCTGGTCTGGTAAGGTCTGGTTTCTTTGTATTTTTATATCTATCCAAGTCTGGTCTGGTCTGATCTGATCTGGTCTGGTCTGGTCTGGACTGGACTGGACTGGTCTGGTCTGGTCTGGGGCAAATTACAGTCCAAGTAAAAACATCCTAACTGATTAGATAAAGGATGTGAGTCCCGTAATAAAGATCCATTTTTGTGTATTCACGGTATACATGTTTTATTATGGGTATACACTATACGGATTTGGATTCTCTGCCTTGCTATAGCAGCAAGGTAGGGTGCGTGGCTTTTATAGCCACACGATTCAACCAAAGCAGCCCCACCACCTCTCCTCCCCTACCGTCCCTGCCGTCGGATGCCGCAAGGCACCTCTGCCGCACGACATAGGATCCAAATCCTACACTATACATGGAAATGACCTATTTGATATTGAAATTAGGCGGTCTATATACCGACCCATTATTATTTAGGGTGCATGTAGAATCTTGGAAAAATTGACAAGAATAATCTCGCATTTCACTGGTTTTCTCATAATAATCACACCTTTTTGTAAATCCAAAATAATCCCACATTTACACTCCATCTTCTTTCATTGGACCCTAACCTATTGATGACCTACTAGGCTACTATACCAGGTTTTTTACTCTTTCTTTGAAAATCATATACTTCGTAAATAATTTCACATTTCCCCTTTTTATTATATCTTTATAAAGGTGGGATTATATTTATATAAGATTTTAGAAAGAGTAAAAAGACTTGGTATAGTAGGTCATTAACAGGTCAAGATCCAATGAAAGAAGAGGTGCAAACGTGAAATTATTCTGGGATTATGTAAAAGTTGAATTATTATGAGAAGACTAGTGAAAAGTGAAATTATTCTTGTCAATTTTTCCTAGAATCTTTGTGCAACATCCCTATTTTCATAACTTTTCCCCCACAATATCAATATAATATGAAATCTACATGTCATTGATGTAGTTGAAATTTTTGATAAAAAAAAATTATAAAATATAGGAAAAATTGATAGTAATAATCCCAACTATGGTCGGTCCGCTTATAATAATCTCAACTATCGATTATTTCAGAATAATCCCAACTTTAGGGACCTTCCGCCATTAATGGTCCCTTTAAATAAATTCTTATAGTTTCTAAAGTGGATGAGGAGAGATATAACAAGTAATCCCTATAAGTAATCCCAACTTTTGATTTTTAAACTTGATTTCTATTTAAAATTCACTTTTTGAGGGTGTAATATTTGGTCATGGACCATTATTGGCAGACTGTCCATATAGTTGGGATTATACAAAAATAATCAATAGTTGAGATTATTATCAGCGGACTGTCAATAGTTGGGATTATTAATTTCAATTTTTCCTAAAATATAAAAGATAGTGAACAGTTTGTTTGTCTTTCTCTCATTTATAAAGCGTACACATTATTACATTGAAAATCCTCTTAGAACCTCACTGTCACCGATAGTAAATTAAGGAGTAAAGGGTCAGTTTGGTCCTCGAAGTTGCATAAAAGGGATCAAATAAGTCCTTATGTAGAAGATTCTGTCTGGACGTCACCATTTGGGGCAGTTCTCGGTGGAATTTTTTGATGAATTTTTTTAAGCAGCTTATTCATTAAGTCTAGTTCACGCATACCAAATTTCAGATAAAAATTCAATCGGAAAGGCATTCAAATGAATTCTTGAAGATAGCGGTGCAGTTAAAAGCGCAGTTATCTTCAAGAATTCATTTGAATGTCTTCCTGATTGAATTTTTAGCTGAAATTTGGTATGAGTGAACTAGACTTAATGAATAATATGCTCAAAAAAATTCATCAAAAAATTCCACCAAGAACTACCCCAAATGGCGACGTCCAGACAGAATCTTCTACATAAGAACTTATTTGACCCCTTTTATGCAACTTCGAGGACTAAACCGATCCTTTACTCGTAAATTAAGCATATGGAGTTCTTTATTTCATTGTCAACTCAAATTTTCACCACTAACATAGCCTGTGCAGTTAAATAGTTGATTAGTTGACCACACAAATCAATAGCAATGAAGAAAATAATTTGTTTTGGTGAGAATGATGAAACAAATAAAAACAACAGTTTCACCTTTATTTTCGTACATTATATTCTTTGTTTAATAAGAAAATCAATTTATAACTTTTGAATAATTCAACTTCAGTTTCCAGTTTTCCACCATATTTGGCCTTAAGCCAAACGGCTAAATTGAGTTGGTGTATTGGTGTAATGTAAAATCACAGAGGATCATATACATTACACAATAACAAAATTTGCTTTGTCTTTCTTTGGAAAAGCTAATCAGTGTTTTGGTTGTTTTTCCTTCATGAGGATCAAAAAGGGGGAATACAAATAAAATTCCATCTAGGTGCTACAGAAAATGCACCAATATAAAAAAGGCTCATAATGAATTGAACAATATCGACAGTGTACACTACCGCTCCCAGAAAGGAAAGCAGGTACAGTCAAGAGTCACTGCCTGACTAATACATCCTTCCAAGCTTCATAGAACATCCAGGTTATCCCTGAAGATGGCATCACTTTCAAACAACTTGCTCCCCAACCTCTATAAAGACCCATCAGTCCTTTCTCCTTGACAATTTCTGATAGCGCAGCTACCATGTGCGGTGGGCACTTCCCTTGTAAGGCACCTACCATTAAACGCTTCCTCGCCACCTCCAACGGGTAACTAATAGTGCTTGCTGTCAAGCCTGCTCAAGGCCACCAAACATTTTATATCATTTCTAAATTATAAAAACAACGGGTTGATTATATCTACCACTTTACCTCCATGAGGTTTGGTAAAATGACCATCGAGTGCCTAAAGTTACACATAAGCCTCTTCATACTGAAAATCTATCGTCACTTCCAAGACTTGGACATGTGACCTCTTGGTCACACAAAGACACCTTAACTGTCTCTTAACCAGTACATCAATGGTCCCATTCAATATAGAAATTAAAAAATAAACCTCCCTTTCCCAAAGCGAACTTCATCAGCTAAGTAGTTTAAAGTATTCTCTCAAAAAGAACCTAAGAGCCAAATATTGAGGGTAGTTTGATCAAACCTTAGAGGTTGATGTAATCATATAAAAACTAAACTTAGTGCTAACCTATCAGAATTGATTGAGTTCAGGGGTCATACCTGAAAGAGCCCCAAGTAGAAGCATCTCGCCACGGCTTAAAGATTCTTTATTCTTTGCCTCACAATAGGATTTCTTTATAGTATCGTACATAAAATAGTAGCATGTGCTGTATGGGAGCATGCCGACCAATGTGGGTGCAATACCAGAATACAATGCACCAATCCCTCCATCCTTATACATTTTGCTTACTGCAATGCTTATACTTGGGTATATCTCAGGACTTATAGTCAAGCGATCCTGTAAATGTAGTTCAATAATATGTATATTAACTATAATGAAATGTTCTTTGACAGAAATACACACTTCTCTAGGTAACTATACTTCCTGTCCTCCAAAAGAGTCATGTTTCAAAAAGTGTTCCCAGCGATTTAAGCATGCTAAATTAGCTTAATGAAGAAAATTGAAAATATAAAGAGGGTGGAATGGTTGATGACGTACAAAACTTGTACCTTCCCCAAAACAAGAAAGGTTATACCTTAGAGTCCATTTGGAACCCGGGAAATCCTTTTGTAAGAAAATAGAGATGAAAATAGTACTCCCTCCGTCCCTAAATAAACTTCCAACTTTCCTTTTTCGTTTGTCCCAATTAAAACTTCCACTTTCCCTTTTTGGCCAGAATGTGTGGTTCACAACAATTCTTACACATTTCTCTCTCCTCTGCACAACTCTCCACCACACAATACCCACTATCTTAAACTGTGTGCCAAACCTATTTGGAAGTGTAATAAGGGACGGAGGGAGTAGAAAAAATGGAAGGAAATAAAATTAGTTGGAGAATAAAAGTTGGTTCAAACTCAATAAATCAATTTCAAATATTTGTTCATAGTCGTTTTATCTATATATTTCAATTACCTAAAGGCTGAGGAATACAAATATATGTAAAGATAATTACAAATTATATAATCTTCCTTGTTACTCTTCAAGGTAGACTTGAACATTAAAAAAATTAGTTCCCTGTGCTTTTTTATTCCCTTACCAATTTCCGGATCACTAATATATTATAAAGAGACATGACTTTTAACAGTGATCAGAAGGAGTATAAGTTATGACACAATCTCGTAGGCAAAAATACCTTCAGAACTTCAAGCGGATGGCATGCAAGCGTACTCACAATACCAGCAGCTGCACCAGCCACGGCAACTGGAGAGAGCCACGCCAGAGAAAAACCGATGCTAATTTGACCTATTTGAAGCTTTGGTCCACCGGACTCAGCCCACCTCGCTTGTGATGAAGCCATTGCTCGTTTAACAAACTCAAATGTTCCAAACTCAATTGCCTGTGTGGGAACTATTCGTAACATGTTAACCATGTTCCCCGCCCATAGCCCTTGCCATCCATGCTCCTCAACAACTTGGATAAAACTCTGACCTATTTTTTTGGAACCTACACCAACCACCATCCGTGTCCTGTGTGTCATGTTTTTCAAAGACTTAGCACTCCAAATGAAGTAAAAAATGAAGTGGTGTAATATACTCTAGTTGGCCAAGATCATATCAAATCTGAATGCAGTTGAAAAGCATGTTTCTGGTTTGGCAATTCCTCAAATAAATCATTTTAACAAAACAAAATGCGGAAAACACAGTCCAGTTTAGAATTCATTTAGTAGTAAAACTTAGAATCGGCTCATTCTACTTACGACCAGGATAAGTAGCTTGACTTATCGGGTTGAATTAAATTGAATCAAATGCTTTTCCTTTTTGAAAATTAAGCAGAATCAGCAAATAACTCTTACATGCAGGCTCAAGAAGAGAGTGTAAAGCGAACCTGATGGTTTCAAGGGGAGCAAGAACAGCTTTGGTCATAGCCCCAGCCAAAGCACCGCTAAGAAACTCACGGAACTCTCTACTGTTGATAAAATCCTGAAACAAATGAAATGTTCAAATGCACTAAGTTAATATTCACCCTTTTGAAACACTCCCATTTTGGTATAGATTTGGTGCGCATATACTAATCACATTGAACTTTAAGCAGTGACACTTCAATATGAAATGAGTAACGAAAGCAAGATATTAATCTTAAAAGCTAAAAACCAGGATAAAAATATTGATATTCATGGATGTATTGGTTAACTTAAACTTACAGAAAATGTCAAAATTTAAAATGATAAAAAAAAATGACAGCATTTTTATTTAGAACGTCATAAATTAAAAAGGATTATATAAAGCCCAAGCATATTTCATTGCATAACTTTATCCAGTACTCCAGGTTGCTAAGTAAAATGATAAATATATATTAAACTTAAACATGATTAATTAAAATCTTTCCTACAACAACAACATCCAAGCCTTATTCCCAAAAGATTTTGGGGTCGGCTAACATGATTAATAAGTAAAATAATAAATATATAACAAACTTAAACATGATTAATTAAAATCGCTCCTACAATTACCAGAAAAATTATACTTTGTACTAACTACTAACCACTACTACGTATTACATAGTCCATTTAAATGCAACAAGTCATATATACAAAAAGATATTTTTAAAGGTTCAAATTTTGTTCTAAGGTATGAATACCGATATAATGTGTATGACATGTAATACCATTTGGGAACATATGTTGTTCACCTTCCTGTACAAGTATGGCCAGTTTACAGAAATACTCTGTATTGACTTAAAACATGGTCCCAAAATGTCAAAGACCATCTGACAATAGAGCAGCCCTGTAGAAAAGTGCGTGGATGACAAACCTGAAAGGCTCGACCGACATCAGGGAACACAAGATGATTTTTGTTCTTATGATTGTTGACATGGAGAAGATGGTGCTTGAGGTCGAGCTCAGAATCCTTAGGTGGCACAACCCCAACTGTGCTGTAAGCATTTCCAGCGAGAGGGAAAACGCTGACTAAGCTCTTTTTATGCGATTCTGATTGAGCAACCATGACGAGTTCTAAGATTGTCTCAATCTGAATCAACAAAAAAGTAAAATTATTGTTAACTTTCCAGTGCGCAGTTCAGATGCACGAACTTTATGAGAAAGACCGCATTTTTATACCTTAAATAGGAGTCATAATGATGAAATAATACAGAAAAAGAAACCCGCCTTGGATGCCTTCGAATCATCCAGTGCGGGCTTTTCGTCGCTTGGATTCCTGCACTCGTTCAGACAGTGAAACCAGAAATATGAAATTAGTTAAAGAGGAGCTCCCTGGATATGTATCTCCTCCTCCGATCACTGAGCAAGGGGAGCTCTATCCATTTCCCGTCCGCTTTTTACAGATACGCGGCGGCGACTGCCGGGACGGGTCACGGGTGCAGCCGTGCAGGCTTTGTTTAGTGGCGGTATTGTAATTTGAACTTCACGGCGAAGGGGCTCAAACAATCTTACGTTATTCAGGGTTTTCTGGAAAAACGCACGGGAAACTCGGGTCGTGATTATATTTTTGGTCTACGACAAAACGCACATGAAGTAACTATTCAAAATCAAAAATGATCTTTGTACCCACTCTTATACCCACATTTATACTCACCTATGTTTGTGAAGGTATTTTTTTTGTCTGTGAATTTCGGTTCACAGACAATATTTTGCACAAACAAAATATTGTCTGTGAAACGGGTTCACAGACAAAAAAAAACCTCCACAAACATGGTGGGTATAAGGTGGGTATAAGGGGTGGGTACAACAAGCATGGTTGATTCAAAATACTCCTTAATAGTTAATACCTTAGTTTAGACTATTTCTTTTTCAAAACGGTTTTTCATTAATATAGAACAAACATACAAGACAAAATCCAGAAAATTATTACAGGTCCAATCGGCAATCGTATGCCCTAGAAATAGACTTAGAGTTAGTCACCCATACAAAGCAACCTGACTCGCTAGACACAAAATGGGAAAGAAGAAGCCTAAAACGATCGAAAATGAAGTACTATGGGAGAATTTTACTTTGCACCCCACTTTTTGGGTGTTATCGGACTTTGAACCTCATTTTAAAAAACATTGGACTTTACACCCTATCATATAACATTTGTGAAGGAAATTTTCTAAATGGGGTGCAAAGTCAAAGGATTTTGAAGTGAAATGTGGTGCAAAATCAAAGTTTTTTAAAATGGGGTACACAGTCCAATATCATCCAAAAAGTGGGGTGCAAAGTCAAATTTACCCAAGTACTATCTATCAAAAGTTTTTCAAAAGTCAAAATACTCCAATCATACATGCTCAAACTGAAATAAAAATAAGTATTGCGAAAGGAAATATAATACGAAAAGAAAAACTTTCCCCATATCGCTTCCTTACACAGAGGTGGTTCCGGAGGAGGGCGGGCTGCTGTATTATGGTAGAAGAGAATTTCAACCATCGGAAAAATCATTTGAAACACTATTCTTCTTGCGCTCGTCAATTTTCTCTCGTTAATTTGCTCCTTGAGATTTGCCATTGAAATCCATGTCCGAGGTGCAGGAGAAAACTTTATCGTGTTGCCTTGTATTTCGCCCACAAAAAAATCAAGCTGCACCCACCGCCCTTGCGTTCCACTCACGTTCCGAAACTCCAAAGAGGAAAACCGCACGAAGCTCACGTTCCACGAAAAAATCAGTCGCACGATCGAAGATCGATTGACGGAACAAAAAACCCTAACTAGTGTTGAGAAGATGGCCGCTCCTCAAAAGAAGCGATAGCGGAGAAGAAAACCCTAGCGGCGGAAATCCACCCTAGAGAGAAAAAAGTTTGATTGCTTCAATTCCAATGGACTTTACCTTAGTTTAGACTTAAAAGAGGAAAATAGGACCTATTTTGATTTATCTGGATTAGAGAACATTAAAATTGATTGAATGAGTTATTCCACTGAAATTTATAAAGTTCAGATTAAAGTAATTGAACTAACTAATTCTACTGAATTATGAAAATACTTCAATTCATCAATTCTTTAAAAGTTGCAACATTAATAAAATAAAATAAAAATTATATGAAAATAGTTAAGATGGATTTCTACAACAACTCTAGCCAATTCAGTTGGGAAAAAAACTTCAACCTTGCTTAATTTGATTATTACACCAACAACGCGCAAAATCAAAAGTTACATGATTTATGACAAAGTTGACTGATAAGGCTGGTGAGCGGAAAAACAATGTTACCAAACGAGCTCTTAGAATAAAAGTGTGATTGTGTTTGGTGTCAAGAGTTTTGAGTTTTAATTTCCCTCTCAATGAGAGCACCAAATGATGGATAGTGTACCCGGGGTAGCTTATCCGAGGGGTTATTGCGGGGAATAGACTAGAGAGAAGTCAGAGCAAACAAGTAAGAGAGAGAGAGTCAGATGTATTAATGAAATCTGATTTGGGATCCTTTACAAGAAGAATAAAGGCTGCTATTTATACCAGTCATAAATGTGGCGAGAGTACACGTGTCAACAATCTAACTGCCGAGGGGTCACCTCAATCGGGGTGGCACCGGCATTCGCATGTGCATCGCATTAAATGCAGTGGGTGATGTGACGCCGCATTAAATGCGATGGTTGTCTGTCCCCAAAGGGAATCTTCGATGATTGCACTGTAGTCGAGGGCTCCCATGTAGCCGAAGGCTACCCTTATGCCGAGGGCATCTATGAGCCGAAGACTCCTGATTTCTGCCGTTTTCTCTCAGTAGCTTTATATGCTCAAACGAAGCTGTCTTGCGGAATCCGGAGCCCTCGGCCATAAGGCCGAAGGCACCCATATGTGCATTGTGGGCTTCTTAAGACTTGGGCCGCTGTGTTTGGGCTTTGTGTGCTCATTGGGCTCGATGGGCCTGAGTAGAAGAAGTAAGAGTCTGTGGACCAGGGGTTCCGAGGCCATGTACTCCATCAATCATCTGTGGCCACTAGGGTTTCAATTACATGATACTTACACCAACACTTGATCCAATATTGTTGGGCAGCTATTCCCTTGGCCGGGGAAGCCGATGTCACTGGTTGTGAGCAATGGTCGCACTAGCGGCATCACTGGATGATAAAGTCGCCAAATAGGGAAGCAATTGTTTCACTATCTGGAGCGGTGTAGCCGCCACTAGCGTGGTGTCATTGTGTCACTGTCATTGCGAGTGGCGGTGTCACTATCATTACTTATTGGTGATTGAGAAGAGCTTAAGAGTGCCACTCGCCACTCGGGGTAGGAGGGACAATTTAATAAAATGCGATTATGTCTTTTTTATGATTTATATACGTAGTAATTCTTTAGTCGCTTTTTGAAAAGTTTCAGTATTGTCGCTTTGTTATTTATAAACAATATTTTGGTAAAATTAGGGGCGGGCAAGAATCCCGGTCCCGTTGTCCCATTCCGGTATATCCCGAAACCGTACCGGTGTTGTCCCGTTCCGTTTGGGTCTCATTGATTTTGTCCTGCACCGGTCCCGTACCGGTTTAAAACGGGACGGGACCGGGACATTGGAAGGTTATCCCGAACCGTCCCGTTGTCCCGTTTGTAATAACTATATAGATTTCGTAGCATGTGACTAGCGTGTAATGTCAACTCAAAAAATAAATGGTAACATGTTTTTAGTTCTTCAAGCCCAATTTTTAAATTAAAAATAATACCTAACATGAATATTTACTAACATAGATTTTTATCCCACTTTATATATCTACATATGAGTATCTCACAACTACAACACATGATTTTGAATAAACTAATTCATTTTTGCTTTGTTTTAAATTTAAATTTCAAATTTTGCTAAACCTAACTAAAATCTAATACGTAGTAGCTTTTAGCTTATGATGAACATCAATTAACTTTTAAAATGTTAATATTTTGGTGCATGATACTTTAGAAATGCTAATATATATTAATTACAAATGATTATTTTTTGTTAGTTTGGGACGTCTCGAACCGTCCCGAACCGTTCCGAACCATCCCGGTCCCGATTTAAATGGGACAAGACTAGGACAAAGACTTATCCCGTACCGTCCCGTCCCGTTATTATTAATTGGGACGGGACCGGGATAACCCTAATCCCGAACCGTCCCGACCCATGCCCACCCCTAGGTAAAATTGGCGGAGACAAATGGTCGAGACATGGAGGGGCAAGAAAAAAACCTTATATACATATGATTAAATATGGGAAAATTGTCAAATAAGCTCTCATACTACATCGAAAAAGTCAATTAAGTCAACGTGCTAAAAAACACCCAATCAAGTACCTTAACTTTTAAAAAGTGTTTAAATCAGCTCTTTAGTAGGTTAACATCTGATCGATAAGCATAAATGAATTTTTCTTTTATTTTTCTTTTTTATTTTTGTTTCTCTTTCTTCCCATTCCCTCCTTTGTTATTCCATAGTCTACTTGCTCCTCCAACTTATTTCTTTTCTTTCTTTCCTGAGTTCCTTCTCCCCTTTCCTTTCTGTCCACCTTCCCTTTCTTCTTTCCCCTGGTTCTCCGCTCGTTGGCTCCTTGTTCTCAGGTGGGTTCGTCCATCATCTTCAGCAACCGCTGCCCGCCGCCGCAACTTCATATGACACTTTGTCACATAACCCTTGCGAGCTACATGTGACAAAGTGTCATATGAAGTAGGGGCGACAGATGTCTTAAACCCCTTAATCACAAACCCCTAAATATGTTTTTTAGCTCCAACTACCCATTTGGGTTTAACGAAGGGCACACCGGATGCTCTGAGGTGAACGTGGGTGGATCTAATTTTTGTCAAGTTGTTGCCGCTGGTGGTCCCCGTGGACTGTCCGTCTGTCTTTTGTTGCTTGTACGACCTTCACTGACGTTGCAAGAGGAGGCTTCAATGACCATCGCTCCTCCTCTTGTCGGTCGTTTTGGTGGTGGTAGCTTCGAAGGGAGGAAATATTTGGTGTTGATTGATGGAGATGAATGCATATAAGGACATGTAATATGTATCTTGATGGAGCAATGAGCGGTCTCCTTTGATTGCTATAAAGAAATTGCAAGGGTACGTAGAACTAGTGAAGAAGATAAGACGGAACAAGAAGAAATGAAATAAAATTAAAAAGAAAAAAGAACACCATGGCGCCTATATATAGTTAGCGGCCAACTTGTTTTTAACCTACTAAAAAGCTAATTTGAACACTTTTTTAAAGTTAGGATACTTGATTGGGTGATTTTCAGTAAGAGGATTTAATTGACTTTTTTGATATATTACGATGATCTTTTTACATAAGTATTAGTTCAATATTTTCACACATTTTGCCACATGCACCGACGACATCATCACATCATATGCAGATTTGCCACAAACAGCCAGTACACATACATAGCCCTTTGGCCCCAGGACCAATGGTGATGGTCTCTGGTCAGCGACCTTTGGTTGAGGATTCTCCCACATGTTTGCCTCAGTCAGGGCTCGCCGATGAGATCGGACCAGCTGTTTGGGAATCTGGGTGAGGCGCCTCGGCGACACTAAAAGTTACCCACTAGACGACGGCGT